CCGATATGTCTGCGGTGAAAGCAGACCATGTGTCCCGCTTTGCAGCTTTGATTACGCTTCTAGATTTAGATCGAGCAAGCTGAAACTCCCTCAATCTATCGGCCCTAGAAGGATCATCAAGCTGCAACCTACGCAGCGCCCTTAGACATTTACGTCTAGCCTTAATCGCTGTATGAACTTCTGTCCCCCACCAAGGGACAGTTTTCATACCTCCTCTCCCTCCAGCCTTTGGGATGTGACGATGAACGGCCTTACTCAAGATTTGGGTCCAGTCACCTGGTCTCAATATCCTGTCATCACCAGGCAGTTGGCGACAGACTTCTTTGCCAAAGCTGTCCCAATCTGCCTTCTCAAGGTTCCATCTCAGCCTTGTCACAGTAGACGGGAGGTCTACAGCCTGTGACAATGAGATAAGAAAATGATCACTTCCGTGTAAGTCATCGTCAACCCGCCAGATAAACTGGCTGGCTACATCCCAAGAGGCTATGGCCAGATCAATCACTGACTCTACCCCGGTGGTGGGATCGAACCGAGTCAGTCTGCCATCGTTCAGCACTGAACAACCCAACGTGTCCAGTAGCTGATACAACCTCTCACCACGAACGTCCGTCTTATGTGATCCCCAGGAGGGGTGATGCGCATTCAGATCGCCCACTATCACATAAGGGACAGGCAGCTGCGAGATGAGATCTTGCAGTTTGCCGATGACGTTCACCTCCTTGCCAACCCTATTCCTCGGAGCCATGTATAAGCTAACAACAGTCAGCTTATACGGAAACTGAATGGTGACCGCGGTGGCCTCCAGTTCAGCATCCAACTGCTCTACCTTATGTGGTATATCTTCTCTAATATCCAATCCAGTGCCGTGGATGTAGGCATTAATGTGAGGCTTAATATACCACTTATATCTACCACCGAGATAGTTTGGAGGTAGATCTGCTACCTTGGCCATCGTTTCTTGGAGAGCGACGACACAAGGCTTCAGTTTCTTTGTCAATAGCTGGATCTCAGATAACTTTGATCGCAACCCATGGACATTCCATTGCAGTATTACGTTCGATGGCTCTTTACCATTCTGTTGTGGGACATCAGACATGGTAACTACTTTTTACCGGCAACAGCATCGCTTTCGCCCTCCGATACCGAGTCAATAGGGGGAGAAGGTGCTGTGTTTTCTCCTTTTTTCCGGCTTTTCTTACCTCGAGTGTCCTCGAGGCCGGCGGTCTGCTTCCGTTTCCTACGGGTCACGGGAGCAGTAGCCTCGCTCTCATCAGAGTCGAGGTTAACGCCAACTCTTTCAAGTTGTCCAACAAGGGAAGCGCATTCCATCTCAAGGCGAGTCTTGGACTCCTTGAGCTGTTCGTAGACTTTCCACCAACTTTTCCAGGAGCTGTTTGTCCTTATCGGTTGGTGTTTCGGCATCAGGCAAGGGGTCGGTGCCAACCTCTTGGGTTAGCACTTTGCCCTCCCTACCAGTAGTCTTTCCACTCTTGGTAGCAACTTGCGTTAGACCGGCAGGTGGACTAGCACCAACCCCAGTACTCTTGCACTGGGTAGCCCCTTTTGCCGGCCTTCGCACCCTTTGCAGATGGAGCTCCGTCTGTTCCCTTGCCCTGAGGGTTCGACTTCGCAGCTCCCTGCTTGGCCTTCTTCTTCTTCTTCCCTTGGGAAGACAAAAATGGCACCTGCTGACCCTTACCAGAGTCAACAGGTGCCGTCCTAGCAGCAACCGCTGCATAGGACTTACCGCTTCGCTCGTCGCTATAAACCTTCTTGGCATCCCCAAAGGAGACACCAAGGTTGGTTTTGATCCTTAAAATATCAGCTTCCTTCACGTAGGTAGGGCACCTACGGTTAGTCGGCTGATGATTGCCTCGGCAATTGGAGCAGAAGGCCTTTGCTCCGGGGCCTCCCTTAGCTCAGTCGGTAAAGGCACAGCTACAAAGCAAGACCATGCTGGAGGTGGCTGGGTTTGATTCCCGGTCCGGTCTTGGAATTTTTCGGATTGGAAAATTTCTCGACTTCCCTGGGCATAGAGTATGATTGTACTTGCCACACAATTATACTAATGCAAACATGGTACAGGCATCGAAAGCTTTCAATTAATAACTGTGGAAGTGCATCTAGAACACTAAGTTGAGAGCACGCAATAAGCTAATATGCCATACGCAATAAGCTTGAAATGCGCGGAAGAAGAAGGAAGGCCTTTGCTCCACATTTCTCGGCAACCGGATGGACCCCTGAACAAACCCTGCACCTGGTCTTGTTCTTGCAACCCGCGCGACCATGCCCATACCCATAGCAGTTGTAACATTGCAAGGGCAAGGCGTAGTACGCTCGGGTCCTAATGCTGAGGAGACCAAGCTTATCCGTTTCCGGAAAGCTGGTCCCCTCGAAAGTTAACACCACGGATGAGGTGTTAACCTTCCCCTCGCCACTACCCTTGCAGATTCTGTGGACATCTACTACACCTTGTGTAGCAAAATGTTCCTTCAGAATCTGCTCCGATTCGTTGATGATATCAACACTTGATACCACGAAACGAATTTTGTTCAAGGTAGGGTGTGCACCCACCCGAACCTTGAACCCTCCGCTAAGTTCAGTGATCTGCTTCAGCTTTTCAGCATCAGCAGGATCACTAACCTCTAGCACGTAACGCGAACCACCCCGATCCGTGTGGGCCTCAACAGCATGCCCAGCAGTACGCTGAACCGCTGAAGCCACGTCGAGATGGTTCCACGCTACTTTTCCACCTCCTTCGACTGCCTCCATGAGGAGAACAATCGTCCCGCTGCGTTTATTTTTCGCCAGGGTCCGTCGACCCTCCAAATAGTTGACTCTGTTTTGCATCATCAACTATTTCGTACGGGAAAGACCCTCTCGGGCCGAAGCCGCCGGAGTCTGTTCCCAATGCAAACCTTAGGGGAAAAAATATAGGGCAGTGCCTCACCCCTATCACACTGAACGGAAACACTTAAGACGGGAGGTTCCATCTGCCAGCCCGAATCGCTTCGTTGCTTCAAACGTGGACGCTAGAAGTAGGTCCATACACTCTACCTACAGAATGCATTCATCCTGAACAAACTTAAGCCACACGAAATCCACTATCTACAATTGTTTAAAGTCCGGTAGACAACTGACTGCCGCCAGAAAGGCTGAGCACGGTAATCGGATGGGCCTAAGACATGACTAGGTCCCATCCTGTACACACTCAAAACCTTCGGACTCCCCCGTTCTTGTTCGCGTTTCTGGCTACAACGCATCATAGCCAGCAACCCCACCGAGCACCGCGTGGAGGTAAGATGCACAGATATCGCAAGTCGCCGATCGTCTGGCAGAGCCCGACAACCGTTGACGAGCGTTCTTATGCACCTGCTTTACCCGGCCGGCATGCGGGGAGCCTTTCGTTGTGTACTGGAAAAAAAAATGTACAACGCCACGCGCCGAAAGCACTGCTGCTCCTGCTGATGATGACGTCCGACCGGACACCGCATCACGCGGTAATTGAATAAGCACCGTTCGGCGGGAGCGAATGGAATTCAACTTTGAAATCTGTGTTAGGGAAAGCTTTTTTTTCAGGCAATTTAGAAAAATTTCCAATCGATTGGCTTATTTAGAATTAAAATCCATCCGCTATTGACAGAGTTATAAGTGGTCAAAACCTGACCACTTTTCGTGACGCGGTCGATTTTGTTTTTTTTTTAATTGCACCTCCAATATGTTGCCGAAAAACTTAATCCTACGTAATTTGAATTTTCCTAGAAACACCGTATTGGGAAACCTTGACGACGAATCGGAAGCCTCAAAGTAAACGCCGGAGTGGAACTGCCAACCGTCAGCTCCAAGGAAAGGTCGTGAGGTGCATGAGAAGCAACCCAGGTATGTCCGATCGCGATTTGAGTAAAAAGTATAATGCCGCCTGTAGTATAGTGCAGCGAAGGCATGCAGGCATACCGCCCCAGTAGGCAACCAAATCGATCACTCAAGCAGAATACCGTAGCTAGAACCCGTGCTCGAAAGCTCTATGACAACCTGCTGACCAAGTCCGGTGAGTGCATACTTATGGATGATGAAACTTATGTAAAGGCCGACTTCGGACATCTTTCAGGACCAAAATTTTAATAGGCGAAGGCTCGAGGAGGTGTCCCTGGCACATTCAAATTTGTTTTTTTTTTCGGATAAATTCACACTCAAATAAATGATCTGGCAGGGAGTCTGCAGCTGCGGTCAGAAGACAAAGGTTTTCCTCACTAAGAAAAAAATGAACTAGGAGGTTTACAAAACCGAATGTCTCCAGAAATGAATTCTGCCCTTCATCCAGTCACATGTTGGTCCGGTGTCATTTTGGACGAATCTTGCAATTTGTCACTACAGCCGAGAAGTACAACAATGGTACAATGACAACGGAGTCTAGTTTGTTCCGAAAACCCTCAATCCACCCAATTGTCCCCAGTTAAGGCTCATTGAAATCTACTGGGTATGAAGAGGAAACTGAAAGTAAAAGGTGCAGTCATCAAAAATGCAGCTCAGATGAAAAATTGGTGGGATAAAATCGCCAAAACAGTTGACGAGACCATCGTGCTCTGCTTGATGGGTCGCATTAAGGGAAAAGTTCGAGAATTCCTTTGAAACCGCCGATGGATGGCAATCGATGTCCGTCGGTGATTGGCAGTAGATTGCGGAGCAGATACCGACGTTAGATAAAGAAATGAATGTATTTTTTTTTTCTTTAAATATAAGGAATAGTATGCACTTGAGTGAAAACCGTTTTCAAATCCATTTATTCAAATCTGAAATAGACCCAAATGATGTTGTTCCATTACTTAGTGGGCCATTCTTTACCTGGCACTTGACATATTTAAAATGAAAGATTTCTGAAAAGTTGGATTGTTTTCTTATCCAGGATTTTTTGTTTTGAAAAATAACAGGAAAATCAGGGAATATCAGGGAATTTATGTTCTTTCACTGAGTCGACACCCTGTAAACGATTGAAATGTCTTCGTGACCCACAACCAAGCTTAGTTTATTCGTATTTATTTTATTGAAACAGCTCACAGTTTGCCTTAACTCTACCCAATCAATCACCCCCCCCGCACTACATCACTCAATGGCAGTCCGGGTAAAGGTAATTTAGGCGCTTGACGTCCTTGTAGCTCATGCCCACCCGTTGCCCGATGATGACTCCCGCCTCGTACGGAATGATCGTGGGCGAGCCGTTCACGCTGAATGCATTGGATTGGTAGTGCATGACACTGGCGTAGTCATACGGGATGCCAAAATCGTTGATGACCGTTGATTCGTAGCGGTCGAAATTGCCCGCCTTACCACCTTGAATCGACGCCCAGTTAATCTTCACAAAAAAGTCCCTATCCGAAGCGCTCTGCATGTGCACGAATCCCAACGAATGGAGGAACTCGTGCATGATGGTTCCCTTGGACATGCAACCATTTGGCTGTAGGTTTAGCTGCTGGGCACCGCCGACCCGGCCCAGATAGGACCAACAGCCGCTGTATTCGCCCGTCACTCTGACGTAATCCGGTTGGTTAGTTCGCTGGACGAACTTTACGCAGCTGAGGAGCATGATCTCTTCCAGAGCTAGCTTGATGGAGTTCTGCTGTGCGGTAGCTGAAAGTGCAAAGTAGATCGCGTAGATGGGTTTTGAATGTGAATTCGCCTTGACACCAGTCCCGAAGTGACGTTTCTTCACACACATTTTGACAGTTCTTTATGGGGTTTTGCGTTGGAGTGAGAGAATAAGAGAAAGTCCGCCATGTTTCACACGTAGACTGACACTTACATATGAGATTTTTCCATAGGATTAAAGAGTTACAGAGCTCTCGTCAACGCCAATTGAACCTATGGTAACCTAGCAACAACAACAAACCATAAGCCACCAACATGTATGCAAGCTTTGCCCCAAACCAGGCCAGTGACAAGGCCTATACCAACCAACAGCAGCGTTTGACAGTAGGCAGCACAAACGAAGTGACAGACGGAGCGGCTCCAAAACTTTGGTGACAAACCTGCTATTTCAATTTTTCAGTGTACCACATGGCAACACCACTACTACTGGATTGCACCACATGGCAACACTACTACTGGATTGTACTAGCATTTTCACCAAATGTACTAGAATGTTTTGGTTCTATCTCTTTCACTCTACTCAAAACTGAAATGCATAAAAAATGATAAAATGATACACCCTTTGCACACTGTCAAAGAATCATTGTACGCAAAATCAACTTTGTTCAAATCAAAACAAAAAAACTAACCCATCTGGTGGATGATGGCAAAAGCTTCCAAGAAAATACTATTACAGTGAACCACATTATTTTAATGGAATTCTTCGCCAGTTAGTCGTCTGTCACTTCGTTTGTGGTAGGCAGCATGTTCCAAATAATTTATTATGCTGTGCTGGGCCCGCTGTCACGGTATAACATGTTGCCTACTCGACTGCCACTGAGCTGCCCCAAACGCAATGTGGGTGGAAACGGAACGGCAGGGGTAAGCTTGACAGTTGAAAATAAATGACAACCTCGTGTCTACACGGTTAGAAAAAAGTTCCCAAAATTAAGTTCTTTTCACTCATCTCGGCACTATAGAGATTGCTGACGTTTATCGTATGCACACTACGTCACGTATACGTATACGCAAAATGTTTTCATCGTGAAAAAAAAACTTCATAGCGGAAAATTTTCCCGATGAAAACAAATCACTGACACAATCATACTTTAGCAATCTCATACTTTTTTTCTTACCGTGTAGCCAAGATTATCTAAAAGTATACCATAGTATAGTAACTATAGTTCCAGTTGTTCTTTGATTTTCTTGAAACTTTGCATAATTGTTTCACGGAGAGAAAAGTATGCTTAAAGCAATTGTATTTTAAGTTGTTTCAACCAGACTGTGAAGGTTGAAATTACAGCCTGTTCCGTGATGTTACTAGCATCAGTTTGTTGCTTTATACTTACTGAAATCACCCGTTTGGATGCTGTAGTACACGGTATAGTTTGGCCACCGATAGGACGGTCCAATGAGAGCAGTGCGTCCGCTTTGTAAGATATCCTCCTGCGTGGTGTCAAGGATTATGTCACCTTCAAAGTGACCTCCAGCCTGTTCCAATTCGCTAGCCACTTGCTCATCTGAAGGCGAAAAAGTTACCCAGCAAGGATTACAACGTGAGTGCTGCAGCTAATAGCTAAGTATTAAGTACCTGGTTCTTGCGTTTCGATCGGCGCTCCAAGGATCGTTCCGACGAGTGGAACGATCCACAGTAGGTGAGCATACTTTTTGGCCTATAATTTAAATGAGATGATTTCACCTTCAACACAGTTCAAAATCACAACTTACCATGATGAACCCCGGATCCCGAACTGTACTTCTCAAGCTAGCTTCTCTGAAGAGACTAATGGTTCAGCAAATTAGCACTCTTTTGGGAGCTTCAGATATGCGTCTTCTATTTGTAGGGTTTTATTATCCGTTGGTTGTAAAACTGAATCTGATAAGATAAAAAAATGGATAGCAAATTTTGGCGAATTTGCATTTTCCCCTCAGATGAATGAGATTTAAATTTGTTCGTTGCTTTTACGTGGAATCTGATTTCAAGAGCAACATAAATATTTGGTTTGCTGTAGTGGTTATTATAATACCACCGAATTGTACTGCCACTTGATAAGACCATATTTGCTCCGTCTGCATTCATTCCTTGTAGATTCCATGAATTCATAGATCAAACAGACGGTTTTTCCAGATGATGTGGCATAATTTAGTCATTCATTCTGATTAGTTTTAAAATACATTTTTGTGAACTCTTCATCATTGTTCTGGATTTCCGTTTGTTCCCGGCCAGATGGCCTCAATCGCGCGTGACTTATCGTTCGGTGAGTTTAGCTTTTGCTCATTTTGAATCATTATTCGGAATTCCGGAAAGCACGTTCCACAGAGATCATTTCTAGTTCAAATGAAAGTAAAACTGGTATTAGACTATCTTCTACTTGATTCAGTTTAAAATGGGAAAAACGGTAACTGTTTGTATACAGTAAACAGTACACAGTAAACTCAACGTTTTATCTATTTTTGGTTGCCTCATGATACTTCAATTTGAGCTCATCGCTGCATTGTAAGCAGATAATTTAATTTTCATTTGATACTTTTCAGACATATTGTTCATATCTAGATAGAGCTGGAATTAGGGCGTAACAGCTTTTGTAAACAATGACTTCTCTCGATGATTTCTAGACACTCAAGGCTCGCCCAAGCAAATCAACATCACTATCAGGCAGAGGAAGTCTTCCCCTAGCCGATGGTTATGTTGGTTTGCGTTGGCGTGCCTTGAATTCCTTGAAAACATCGGGAAAATTCATTGTTTACAAAAGCTGTTAGGCCCCAATTCCAGCTGTATCTAGATATATGAACAGTAAATAGACTGTTTTGCCTCGAAAGCTTTATTTTTGCGGAAAGGTAAGCTGACGTGCTGATCTTTGCCTTGCCATTTCCTACCTGAGTACCTGATGGGCGAAGACTCGTTGAATTCAAATATGCGCCGAACGAAGTAACCGTCTCCATTGGTCTCGGTCCTGAGCCAATTGCTTCCAGTCGCCTTGGACGTTCAAGGACCTAATGTCCTCCTCAACTGCACAAAGCCAACGTGTGCGTGGCCTACCCCGAAGCCGACGTCCTTTTCCGGGTTCCCTGCTGAATATTGACTTCGCTTGACGCTCTTCCGGCATTCGTGCCACATGCCCAGCCCGCTGTAGCCTGCCGTGTTTTATAAACTTCACAATATCCATGCCGTTATATACTTGGTACAACTCGTGATTCATGCGACGCCGTTAGATGCCATTTTCCAGTTTACCGCCGAGTATTGTTCGCAGCACTTTACGTTCGAAGACACCAAAAGCTCTCCGATCGGCCTCTTTCAATGCCCACGATTCGTGGCCATGAAGGGCTACCGGCAGAATCAACGTCCTGTTACAGCGCGAATTTCGTTTTCGTACGCAAGCTGCTGGACTTCAGCTGACTACGCAACCCGTAGAAAGCCCTGTTCGTGGCTGCAATACGCCTTTTCACCTCGCGGGTAACTTCATTATCGCACGTCACTAAAGTACCAAGATAAACAAATTCATCCACAACTACAAATTTTTCGCGATCTAGCACCACTTCACTACCAACACCACTATTGCTCCCACGCTTTCTACCGGCGACCATGTACTTCATTTTGGTAGAATTTATCGTGCGACCAATCCTCGCTGTCTCCCTCTTAAAAGGCGCGAACGCCTCTTCCACTGCTCTACGGTCGATTCCGATGATGTCGATGTCGTCCGCAAAACCAAGGAGCATGTGCAACTTTGTGATGATGGTACCGTTCCTCTGCACGCCAGCTCTCCTAATCGCTCCTTCGAGGGCGATGTTGAATAGCAAGTTCGAAAGAGCATCTCCCTGCTTCAACCCATCTAAGGTCACGAACGAGGCCGAAATCTCGTCTGCTGCAACCCGTACACATGATTTCGAACCATCCAGCGTTGCACGAATCAGCCTAATTAGTTTCGTCGGAAAACCGTTTTCTTGCATTATCTGCCATAGCTCGTATCTCTTTACTGAATCGTACGCTGCCTTGAAATCTATGAACAGATGATGAGTCTGCAAGTTGTATTCCCGGAGCTTCTCAAGGGTTTGACGCAGGGTAAACATTTGATCCGTCGTTGATCGACCCTCACGAAAATCAGCCTGGTATTCGCCGACGAAGGATTCCTCAAGCGGTCTCAATCTGTTGAACAGAACGCGTGATAATATTTTGAACGCCGAATTGATAAGCGTGATTCCTCTGTAATTGGCGCACTCCAGTTTGTGTCCCTTTTTGTAGAGGGGACAAACGAGTATACGGTGGATCATCTGATGCAGCTGCTCACTTCCGTGTTTGAGAAGTTCGGCCGGGAGCTCGTCCTTCCCCGCAGCCTTACTGTTTTTCAGCTCTCGTATCGCCTTTTTCACCTCTTCTAGCGTTGGTGGTTTGTGGCATCTGCATAACAGACGCCATCGAATTCTGTTCATTTCCAGCAGATCGCATTTGTTGCGCCACTGCTGAGTCGAAATTCCCTAGCTGTCGCCAGTCATCGACCCTAAAGTAAGTGTCGAGGTACTGCATAATCAATTTCCGAGGAAAGGATCTAATTACTAAGCCAATGCACTACGTCTGTTTCCAAGCGGCGTTGTCACCATGCGACATTTTTAAGAGATGAACTAGCCTATGGCTAAAAATCTCTATAATAAAGTAACAAAAAAAAAAAAAAACCATGCGACATGTAAACGTGGGAAAGCCGCAGCGCGGTTTCTCTCTTGATCATTTCTCTCCCTCTCTTGGTCGATCTATGTATCGATCGCTGATTGGCTAGCAAATACATAACGACTTCAATTACCTCCAGTTTAGGCTAAGTTAAACATGAACAATAAAATCAATCTAACATAAACCATCAACAAGTGAAGTTGAATAATTTAATGAGAAACACAATTGACAGATAGCAGGATACTTCACAGGTTCCACAGCTTGACCATCGTCGTCGATGTGTGTTCTGTTTGTAGATGCTCTCTCGTTCTCTCCGTTCAGCAACGTCTCGAAGTACTCCTTCCACCTGGCAGCCACCATCGTTTTATCTGTCAGCAGATTACCTTCACGGTCATAGCACATGGCGGAAGACGGCGCTGTCTTACTCCTCACGTCATTGACAGTTGCGTTAAACCTTCGCATATCATTCTGCTCCATACTTTCTTGCGCCTCAGCAATAACGCGTTCCTCGTACTGTCTTTTTTTTTTCCTGCGATGGGTTCGTTTCTCGGCTGACCTTGCTACTCTGTACCGCTCTCTGTTCTGACGGGTACCAGACACCAACATCCGGCTTCTGGCGACGTTCTTCTCCTCTGTCACTCGCTGGCACTCTTCGTCAAACCACCCGTTCTCGTGCTGTTGTGCTCACCGCTCCGTGGACAGCTTCCCACAGATTGTTGAGATTCTCGTTCACGTTGATTTACGCTATCCGCTTATTCAGCTTCTGGTGGTACTCTGCAGCAACACCATCTACTGTCAAACGCTGGGTGTTGAAACGCATCGATCTCCGGTTTCTCGAACTCGGAGCGGTCGATAGACGCGCTCGAATTTTCGCGACAACGAGGTACCCAACAAACATACAATTTATGATTACGATTTAAATTAATTAGGCGTAGAAAATAAATTAAAAAAAGGGTTGAGGCTGGGATTGAACTCGCGACTGTCTACTTGGAAAGCGGAAACGGTAACCACTATGCTACCAATTTCGTTTTGTTGTTAGCCTGAAGCAGTGTTGTGGAATAATGAATGAATACGCCGTTTGTAAAGCATTTACAAAGCATGAAATTAAAACATGGACGCATAGTGGTATAAGAGCTATTTTGCTGACTGTATTCACCTTTATACAGCAATATTGTAAAGCAACGCAATGAAATCTAATAATGGAGCTAGAAAACATTTATAAGACGTCTAATAAAGCATTTTATTAAAGCAATTGAAAACAGTCAAATTAAAGCGACAATGTATGTGCAAGTTACACTTATTCAGTTTGTTATTAGATCAAACTTCTGGTTCTGAATCACGAAGACAGTCAACGTTTATAAAGCTTTTAATAAGTAAATTAATCATATCAGAGCAAACGGCGGAATAAAGGCGCATCTATCGATCTAAATGAACTTTTTTTCAGCACATAATTCGACATCCTGTTTTATTCAGCATTGTACACTGTTATACAGCATTTATTCAATGTGTATGCTTATTTGTGACTGTGAATTGTTTGTTGGGTAGTGATCTGAGTCGATATTAGGACCCCTGAAGGTCTTGACATCTACGACATCCGAGAAATGCCGATCATCCACCAACACGTGGTCAATCTGGGAGCAAGTTTCGCCATTAGGGTGTCTCCAGGTGTGCTTTCGGATATCCTTGCGTGCAAAGTGTGTGCTACAGATGGCCATATCACGAGCAGCAGCTAAGTTTATCAACTTCAGGCCATTATCATTCATTGCAGAGTGAAGGCTCTCTGTTCCAATGATTGAGCGAAAGAATTCCTCTCTTCCGATCTGCGCGTTTGCATCTCCGATGACAATCTTCACGTCGTGTTTAGGACACTCATCATTGGTTTTGTCCAGGCTTTCATAAAACGCGTCCTTCACGTCATCGGTTTAACCGTTAGTCCGTACGTAGATGTTAATCAGGCTGTAATTGAAGAATTTGCCATGAATCCTCAAAACGCAGATGCGCTCGCTAACCGGTTTCCACCGCATAACCCGCTTCATCTGTTTCCCAATCACTACGAAACCGATTCCGTGTTCTGCTCTATCGCCACCGCTGTAGTAGATATGGTATTTGAACGATGTGTTG